CTGCTCCCCACCTCCACACAGCTCTGAACACTGTGGGCATATATGATGTTAGAATCAGACACATAGGGATAAAGAGAGTAGCGTGAAGATCAAGAAAAAGGCACAATGAGCTGAGGAGAGAAAAGTGAAGCTTCTGAATGCTAAATCTCTTTACCTGCCCCCAAGAAGATGTGTACCACTCTAAACAGTTGTGGATGTTACAAGGAATTCGGACAGGAGGTCTGGGGGAGATGGCCTGGCAATGAAAAGGCCGCAGCAACCTTTGATCTCGTGTGTCATAACACTGAATCTCTCTGACCTTCACTCCTACACCACAATTCTTCGAGCACTGCCAAAAGAGATATCAGGAGTGGCAACTCCCATTGTGTTTTCATTCATTGGAAATGGATTGAATTCATGTTTGGCTGCATGCATGCAGACTTACTTTACTCCACTCTCCAATTTTCCATGCAGAGCAGGGACGAAGGTAGCAGCGGCGTGCTGGCACTGGCCTAGTAGCTAAGTCACAGTCTGATCCATCACCAGTGCTGCAGGACACTGACCTCCAGATGGCACCAAGCCCGCAACTTGTTGAGCACTATAAAATCATTTGCAGGATAAAAAACTGTTCACATTGAAAAATGCATGCAAACCCTGCTTAAAGAAATTTCTCAGGACATGTTCCTGGATAAACATTCAAGTTCGAGGTTGTGGGCTCCAACAACATTCTTATATTCTTAACATTTCCCATTTTCGATATTCAGGTTATAAAACATTTTGTATGTGTGCACTCATGGTGCCATGCGATCCCTCATATCCATTTTTGTTGCTAGAATAACATGAAACAAATTTCATTACCTGAAAGTTAAATGTTTCTGTTGAAATCTAATGCTGTGGTGTCAGCATAATTCAAGGACTTTTATCTTTGTGGCCGACTGCTGTTTCTCAGCCCATGCTGATTTCGTATCTAGAGAATGTGAGGAATGCATAATTAACTACTCACAGCACTCCAGTTGCCTTTTTTCCAGTGTGCAGGAGAGGCTGATGGGGAAAGAGAAAGCATGACCAGCCCAGTGGGCATCGGAGGGCTAGAAGAATGCACTGAATGCTCACTGCTAGTGCCCTGAGATGGCTGCTCAGTAGGAGTAGACAGAGAGGGATTAAGCCCAGCAGGTCTCAGCATTCGGGCAATAATAATCTCACTGTTGTCAATCTCTGTCCAGCGAGGTAAGGGGACCGGAGTTCCCCAAGGCTCTATTTTAGGCCCATTAGTTTTGGGTGGTGCAATGGCTCTGGAATACCAACTTTGAGTCTCTGTAGCAATTGTAGTGTACGGAATATCACTTGGAGTGAAGAGTGGGGGCTCAAAATCATTTTCCATTTCTGTAGGAGGTAGAGCTGTTGTTCCAGCTGCTGAGGTCATGCTACTGTAATGTTTGGCAGGGACAGAGGAAGTTGGAGAAGGAACATACTCTTGAGAAAGGCTATCTAAGGTCGTAGTGAACTCTCTTACAGTGAATTTACTCT